TCTGCCGCGGCGCGGGGTGGAAGCGGGGCCATCCTCCGCCGAGCTCTGAGCAGAGATCCAGGCTCCGTCTGCGGGATCCCAACTGGGGCAGGCACGACTGGGGCTGAGCCTGGGATCAGCCGAGGGCTGGGAGTTGGATCAGTGGGAGCGGGATCGCGGGAGCGTGGCTCTGCTGACATCTAGTGAGGTTGTCTCCTCTGGCTTCACACTCCCTGCGAGCTGGGATGTTCAAAACCCTTTGAGGGTTTGATTTTTCCAGTGGGCAAGAGCTGTGTTTATTCTTGGTGAAGACACAGCTCAACACTATCGCCCCTCCTCTCCGTGCAGCCCCCCCAGCTCCCAGCCACTGCCCTGGCAAAGCACACAGAGCCAAGCGGGACTCACACCAGTGCCCTCCTGTCGTCCTTCCCAGTTAGGCTGAAGCCTGTAGAGGAGACAAGCAGCTCCCTGCAGTCACCAATGCCATTTGCCTCATTTTCCACCCTACCAACACCTGATCTGCCTCTCACAGCTGTCTCCATCCCTGGCTGCATCATGGCCAGACACTTTAGGGTCGATTGACCCAGTATAAAGTAGAAATAAGTTAGAGCCACCTCTCCTCCATGCAACCAATGACTTGGATGTTACAGCACCAGTCACAGCAGTGAAGCACCAGCCCTGTCCTGCCTTGCTGGTGCTGGGGGGGACTGGTAATCCTGGTGGGCAGCAGAGGCAGGAGTTGTCCTCCTGGGCTGCATCTGTGAGGAGGAAGCGAGACTGGAAGAGGAACTAGAAATAACCAGAGAACGGAGCGAGGAAGAGCACGGCTCGCTGGGTTTATCACAGCCCAGCCCCAGGCCGGTGTGTTTGCTTCTGGGGTGGGTCTGCTCAGCTGAACGCTGTTCCTGAAGGAACAAAGAGCAAGTTCCTGGTAAGCTTGGGTTGCAGAAGAGCTGCGTGTTTACAGGAGGGCTGTAAACCAGGTTAGTGCTCTCTGGGGTAACCTGGTGACCAGAAACCACGCCGGCCTCTGGCTGACACTGTCCTGACTCCAGGGAAAAGCTTACAGCTTCCCTGAGCTGCTGCCACATGGTTGGTGCCTTGTCCCCCTTTTCTCTAAGCATTGTGGGGACATTTGCTCCTTTTTTTGGCCCTTTCATGGCTAAAATGCCTTTGTGTCCCCTAGACAGCACCCTTTGGCATTTTGCAGCTGAAGGAGAGCACTCGTCCCTGCTGTGTTATGGTATGAGGAGAGCACTTGTCTGAGCTCCAGCCCAGGTCCTTGTGGTGCTCAGCAGCTTCCGACTCCTTCGCAGGAGCAAACACAGCCCTGGCAGGGGCTGAGGAAATCTCAGAGCTCTGCTTCATTCCTGGGAAAAGGGATTTTTGGGGGAGTTACAGGAAACCATCTTGCTACCCCATCTGCTTCTGGCCACGTCCTGCAGCACCTTGGCTGCTTACGTCCTCGGAAACTGGTTTTGCAAAACATTAACTAAAAGCCCACCAAACCAGGTTGGTAGCCTCCAGTCTCTGTTTGCACATAAAGCGAGTGACCTCAGCCAGGTGGCACAGACAAGGTGACCCCTGGGGACAGCCATTTGGCTGTGCTGCTGGCACTGGGTTAACTCTGCCTTCCCCAGCTGGTGACAGAGCCCAGCCTGCCCTGGTCTCTGCGTGCCAGCGAGGTGAACCTGGACCTGCTCACCATTATCAGCACCTCTGCCCAAGCACAGCCCTGCTCCAGCAATCCTGGTTGATCTGGTTTCCAGGTTGATCTAATTTCCAGCTGGATCTGTTCCCTGATCCAGCCCCCCAGAGTGCAGCAGCATTGGGGTGGCTGTGCTGTCCTACACCCCTTTCCATGGGAGCACACGCTTGGTTCAGCTTGAAGTGACCCTGAAACCAGCCCTGGGTCATTTCTGCAGCAGCATGGGGCACACAGGTCCCTCCAGCCCAGGGATCAAGGGAAAACCATCCCCACCAGCAGCTGTTTGAGATTCACAAATCTCTCCTGTGATGAGATAAACCTGAGGCTCTTTGCCCTTTCCCTGTGGATAAGGAGGGAGGTTATTCCCTGCCCTCTGCAAGGAGAGACTTTTCACACTTCCACTTTTCCCCGTAGGGTAAACAGACACAGCATGGCTGCTCTCACCTCGGGGACCATCCCTCCAGTCACTCCTGCTGCCTCATCTGCCTCAGCCAGGAGGGGACCTGCCTCTGGCAAAGCCACTCTTGGTGACAAACAGAGAAGGTAAATCCCATTTTGCACGTTTGTGTGCTGCCCTTTGGAGGCCACGACTGATGCTTGCTGTTGTCCCCTCTGCAGTCACCTCCCAGGACAAGCACCCTGGGTTGGGGTGAATATTTGTGCCTCCCCAAGCCCCTGACACCAACACAGGTGCCCCACGAGTCCCTTAAAGGCCACCAGCTGGGAGCTGGGCACCCACCCGTTGTTTCTGGGCAGCACAGCCCCAGCCCATATGGCATTAGAGGCATCAGCTCAGCAGGTGCAGAGCACACAGCTGCCACCCTGCATTTCCCATGTTCTGCCTTTGATTTCACAGGCCCAGCACTGCTCCTGTGTCAGCCCCGACACGTGGCTCACCCGGAGGACACCCAGAGATGTAACTCCAGCTCTGCAGCGAGGTCCTTCCTGGACTCGTGGGTGCATTTGCTTCATCCTCAAGGTTAGTGTGGATTAAGCCGTAGCACAGCTGCTGCTGCAGGCCAGCTGTAGGTGCAGGCAGCATTTCCCCATGCATTTCTGGCCAGGCAGACTTCCCATGCCAGAGAGGTTTTCTTCATGCTTGGAGTGAAAGCCCACTGCAATCACAACTCAAACAAGTCATGGTGTCTGCTCTAAGGCTGGAGTTTTGCCCAGGGCTTAATGCTATCAACTCCCATGGTCATTTTCCCCTCCCATCTATTTTCTTTAAAGGCTCAAATAGAAGAGGTGTGCTCAGCAAGGAATGTCTGGGCCCGGGTTCAAGCTCAGTGTGCGTTTAGTCTCTTGAGCTGGCTGCAAAAAACCTAAACAGAGACTTCTCGTGAACCCCGCAGAGCCAAAAGAAAGAGAAGGCAGAGGAATAAAGCATCCCTGATTTCTGCTGAAACTCTTTGAAAAGAAAAGCTAGCAGCAATCTTTCAAATCCTTGGAAGCAGCAGCGCCGCCCACACCCCTTGGAGGCAGCCAGGTCACAGCAATGAGCAGGACAACTCCTCGCAAACCCAGCCAGGAGCAGGGCAGTGGTCAGTACATTTGCAATAACCTCAAGCTCTGTGCTTGCCTGGAGCCCTGCCCTCCTCCCTCCTCCTCCTCTCAGAGAGTGCACATGGCACCTACCTCCCCTGCCACGGGGGCTTCAGAGAGCACTGGTTTTGCCCCCCTTGTTTTGTCCTGCTCTGGCTCCATCCCTGGGGGAGCAGGGGGCACCCAGGCCAACGCTGCCTCTTGCCCTCTGCTCAGCAAAGCCAGCTCCCAGCCTCCTTGCATCACCCCTTTTGCGTCTTTCCCGTGACCCCCACCATAGTAGCAGATCAGGGCCCAGTTCAGCATTCCCAGCTGAGGTCTAATCCCTCTGGCTATTTTTAAAACCCCATCCTCATCGCAGCCCTTTGTACCCAAACATGGAACAAAGGAGGAGCCATCCTTCCCCCAGCCCCCCTGCGCCAAGGGGCCGCTCTCGACTCGGGCACTGACCCCACAGATTTCTTGGTGTGACAAATGTGCTTAACAAAAGGCAGCAGCCCTGTCTCCCAGCGCAGTGGCCATGGGGACAGAGCAGCAGAGCTGGCACAGACCCTTTATACTGAGAATTTGCCCCAACTCTACAGGTGGCTGCTTCATCTCTGGTGCATCCTCTCCCTGTGCTTACTCCAGCTTGCTTCCCCCCCCTGCATTGCGCTTGCTGCCGCGCTGCAAGCGGCTGTGGTGCTCCTGCTGGGCGAGGAGGGGCAGGACTCTCCCCATTTCTGCTGTGGAGAGGGGAATGCAAGAGCAAAGTATAAATATCCACAAAGATTAGCACTTGCACAGCACTCTGCCCTGGGAGAAAGTGTTGAGTGTCACCCACAGCCCGCATTCCCTTTCTCTGCGCTCCCCAGCTGCCTCTCCTGTTTCCAGCCCTGGGTTCACAATCTCCACAGCCAGCACTTTCATTTCATTCCTCCCTCCACCCCCGTTCCCTCTTGAAAAGGAGGAAATAATGGAGCCTTTGTCAGGTTGCTGTGGTGCAGGCACCGAGCAAGGAGCTGCACGGGGGTAAGGGGCTGCCGGGCACGGCCGCCTGCC